CGACCTACTTACCACTGGCTATCGTGCAGGTCACGGGTTCAACTCCAGGGAACTGTGCAGATACTGTACACAGGTAAGCTGAGGTCAAGGGATCGACCCCTGGGATCTGCATCGGCTACTGCCAAAGGTGAAAACTGTTTCAAAACAGCCTTGAAGGGGCTTATGGAAAAACAGACATCTATGCAATACTAAATTCAAGGGGCCGTTTTGCGTTTCGAGCCTTGGCTCACAGGAGAAATTCGGACCGAAAAGCCCACCTGCCTTGGTGCCTTTCAGCGGCCCTAACCCTACCTCCCTCACCCGTATGCCCCGATGGCCAACATCTACCAAGCCTCACGCCCCCAACTGCTAGGTTACAGAGTGGCACGACCCACCCCAGAAACCCCCCACCTGCTAGGCCACAGAACAACATGACCCGCCCCGACTCCGGCCAGCGTCGACTAGGCACCAGCTCCCCAACAGACGCTAGAGTGCCTTCCACCCTCGACAACTCCTCAGATCTCTCTACCAGGTCTGATGCCCTTGTACAGCTCGAGTTACAGGGTAGCGCGACCAAGCCCCGGCACCAACCAGCGTCGTTCTGGCCTTTTGTCTATTCACAAACCCGTGGGACTCCGGACTACGGCAGATACCAGTCAAGCCACCAATCAGCACCATAGCTGTGGCTCCGATCATCCATCCTCCAGGCAGTAGTTGCAGATATCCCACAAAAAAACCTTCTCAGCCCTACTCCGGAAAGTGTTACAGCAATGGAGCCACCATCTCCACCGCTGCTATACCCTATTTCAACCCTGCAGGCTAGCCCCTTCGCCGCAGAGCGCGTCCTCTCCCACCGTCACAGCCACCATAACCCCCTGCCACTAGCACCAAGCCTTAGATGAAGTTTCTTCATTTTTAAGAAATTTATGGAAAAAAGCGTCGAAATACCGGGGCCATTACCCGGCTTAGGCAAAGGATGACAATTGTGCAATCTAATGCGATGGGGGCGGAAAGCAAATAACAAGCTCCATAAAATGGATATGGGCCTAGATAAACGTCCTTGAAAATCTGCAAGCCAGGTGTTAAGATTCTTAAGAAAAAAACAAACAAGGTTCTTTCAAAACCCGCTGTGTTTTTAGGTGTAGGGGGTTTACACTTGTTCCAGCTAGACGGAGCCGAAGTTGTCCTTCAAAGCGGGCAGCAAATCATTCGAACTGCAGCATTTTCATGTACCAGCGGGCCATGCCTGGACAGTTATCGTTTGTAGAAAAGGGGCCATGCCGGACTGATGGCGCGCACATGCTAGGAGAGCATGAACTGGTTGGTAATTACAGCCAGGTTCATGCATTCCAAACACATGGACATTGTACCAGTGGGTCCCACACCATAAACCACCACCGATACGTTTCCCTGGTATGAAAACAAATATGCGGCTTGCATCCAGGCGCAACGTTTGGGGCTTGGCCTTTGGAACGAAACGGCTAGCGGCGTCAGCTGAAAAAAGAGGCCCGTGCCACTTCGTATCTCGTTTTGGCGCGCATTGCATTTCCCCAGCCCCATAAAAAAGTGCCTCTGGGCCTCACCGCACGGTGCAAGAAACGGAAAAAAAACGACTTCGTTTCGTGAAGTCGTCGCCGCATAGCACCCACACGAACTGTGTCAGAAAAGACTCGTGAATGCTGTCAGCCTCCGAGTTCGCGAGGCCTCACGAGTGTGCCGAGTCCTTCCTGCCTGCAGCCCTCGCGAACTCGTAGGTCCTCCGCTGGTAGGCTGGAGAAGCTGCAAAATTTCACGAGTGAGCTGCATCGCTCCAAACGAAGTCATTCAAGAACTTGGACCATAGCGTCCACAAATTTGGACTGTAGCGAAACGAATCCCCCACTACTATCGCCAGGGCGTCGTCGCTAGAGTGTTCGTCTGTGCTGTGGGGCGGTGAGGCAAAAAACGAAGTGAAACGGTGGATCAGGGCTTCGTGAGGCCTCGCGACTCTGGTTATCGTTTCGTTTCCTTAGTTGTGCCGTGCGGCGAGGCCCTCTGAAGCCCTGGTGGTTTAAGGCTTTAACGTCCATACTAACAACAATGATGCCTACGGAGCACGGAATCCAGATTCACGCCAAGCCAAGTGGGCCGGTACTTAGAAATTGTGGCTTGTGTCCTTTGAGAAGTGAACAACCCAAGGTAATGCTAGGGGTGCTGATAGGAGCAGGCACCACTAGCACCCCTGTGGAGGCTCCGTCTATTGGTGGGGAGCATCACCTGCTGGTCTGTTTTGTCTTTGGTAAGAAAAAAATTAAAAAAAACATGAAACAACCATGGCCACAGCGGATTTTGTGTTTTGGATAGCACCCCGCCTCCCTCCCCCCAAAAAAAAAAAAAAACAGTTTTAAGTTGCAGTTTTTTTTTTTTTTCATGCTAGAAATCGGTCCAGCATCCAGTACATTCATCAGTTCAGAAGTGAGCTAAGAAAGCACCATCTCTGTAGAAGCAGCAGGTCTTTTGGACCTCTTCGCCCAAGGGTGCCACATCAGCATGACAAAA